ACAACCCAAAGGGTGAATGAACTCTTGTATAATCTGGTTAGAGATAATCTGGTTTACTGGATATTTGGAAGGAATGTTACGTAATGATTCTTTTCCTTCAATTCCAATCTAAAAATAAGTATTATTGGATCTATTCTGCAACTGATATCCAGCTACACACAGACTTAATTTTCCTCTAGTTTAAAAAAAAAATTTTTTTTGGCTTGTTCCACAGCCCTAGAATTGCTTCATGAGAGAGCAGCCCAAAGCTTTTTAAGAGCATATTCAATTTCCACCTTCCTTCTCCCTAAACCAATACAGCCATAAAGGTGAATCAAACCAAAACCATGAAATTGCAAAAGAAAAAAACCTATAGAAAAATGAGATGGAAAAAAAGCTGTATCACATTTTTGTGGCTTTCATAGCATAAAGAATATAGCGACTAACAAACTTTATACCCTACTACAGACACACTTGCACATTTGTGTCCATTATCCTATTCACAATAGCTGGAGGATGAAATCAACCTATGTGTCTACCAAGAGATGAATGGACAAGAAACAATGTGGCACATATATACAATGAAATGTTACTAGGTTATAAAGAAAAATTAAGTCATAAAATTTGCATAAATACATGGAACTAGAAAAAAATATACTGAATAAGGTAGCTCAGGCCCAGAAAGATACATACTGTTTTCTCTCATATGGCAATCCTACCTTCAAACTTTCTCTTTTATGTGTTGAACTTGGAGCACAAGTGAAAGCCAGGAAGCTAGGTAGAGGCCTTTGGGAGGGTGCTTCCAAGCCAGGAGATGGGAGATTAGAGGTAAAACTAAAACAGGGAAGTTGAATACTCAGCAGGAAAAGAGGGAGTGGGAGTAGAGGGAAGATCAGGAGCGGAGCGAGGGTTAACGCAAAGGAGCGTGGATCAAAAACCATAGAGAAGTCCATTGTTTCACAACCAGCTAAAAGGCAATGATTGGAGGGACAGAAGAACGCCTGGGAAATGAGAAGTGACTGGTGGGTGGATCATCCCGGGAGCCAATGAATTCAACGGAGATAAGGACAGAGCACAGGAAGAAGAGCAGCGTGGGGTGGGTTAGGCAAGCCTAAGGATATATGAAAAAGCCTACAGAAACACACTCGTTAGTAAGCTAGTTTCAAAACACAAGATTTAAAAAAAAAAAAAAAGCGTTAAAATGGAACGCCCTGACTGGATGGACAGTTGGCTCACAGACTGCATGGATTATTAAGTAAAAGTTGCAGTGCAAGGCATGGGACGCCTCTCTACAAGTTACTGGTCAGGGATGCCCCAGAGGTCTGAAAAACAGTCAGACTATTGTCACTGCCCTTGGTGATTATCGTTTAATTATGCTCTTATCCTCACCACTCATGAGGATCTACCGGATGCTACGACCCTATTGATGAAAACAACACACACACACACACACACACACACACACACACACACACACACACACACACACACATACGTGGCTGTCAGACACAGGGAAGGCAATCAAAACATGATCAAGGAAGTTTCATAATGTTGGAGATGTTACACAGGCTGGTGGGGAGAAAATGCATCCATGGCCTTACCCGGAGCTGGAGTCAGCATGCTGCAAGACCAACCTGCCAGGCATCATGTGCCCAGTGGCCCAATAGCGGCACAACTGTTATGGGGTAAGTAATAACTTCCTGACTGGATTTCAGGTCTGCTCCACAAGGTGAAAGTTCTTTGCTGGTACTGTGATCCTGGCCAAAAGCCCACATCTGGGAGGCAACTGGCCCTGGAAAGAACCCTCTACTGCTATTTCGCTAAATGGCCACACTGTTAAAGTACTTTCTAAATATTTGTGTTTATGTGTTTGTACCTACAGATCCTGGTTGCTCTTAACTTCCAGTCATAGTGGGCAACAGTCAATGGGAAGATGCATGCCTGGTAAAGTGCTGAGAATAAGGGACTGGTATCAGCCCTAACCTGATAGCTACATTAACACTCCCATCCCTACATAAACATACACTCAGGGACTATCTTGGAAGATGAGGTAGGAAGAACGTAAGAGTTGGAAGCTGGGGAGGAGTGCTATGAAACACTGTCTTCTAGACTGTGGCGGTTTGAATAAGAACAGCCCCCATATTAGGCTCAGATATTAGAATGCTTAGTCACCAGGAAGTGGTACTATTTGAGAGGGATTAGAAGGATTAGGAGGTGTGGCCTTGCTGAAGGAAATGTGTCACTAGAGGTGGGCTTGGAGGTTTCAAAAAGCTTACACCAGACCAGGCACTTCTCTGGGCCCGCTGCCTGCAGATTAGGATGCAGAACTCTCGGCTACTTCTCCAGCATTAAGTATGCTTGCCTCGTGCCATGCTCCTCACCATGATGATAACGGAATAACCTCTGAAACAAGCCAGCCTCAATTAAATGTTTCCTTTATAAGAGTTGCCTTGGTCGTGGTGTCTCTTCCCAGCAATAGAACAGTGACTAAGATATAGACATAGCAGAGCTATGGGACGCATGAACTCACAGCAGCTGTAGTTACCCACATAAGTCTGACAAAAGATCAAGCCAGTCAAAATTCCAGCACCGGTACTGCAGGTGATTATTAAGCAGTTATTGGTTGTTAGTAGTTGCTGAGGAAGGGATAATCTTTTTTGAGATGTGGCCACTGGTAGGATTCCTATGTTCCAGTGGACAGCCATGCATATATGGACAGTATTAACTGGATTTAGTGGATAATTTAAGAGGGAGATAGGTATGAAGTTGGGAAAAGGATGTGTTGAGGTACTATGAGGAATATAGAGGGAGTAGGTACAGGAAAACAAAGTACTGTCATATTTCATTGTACACATGTATGAAATTCAAGAATAAAGAACGATTTTTTTTTATAAATTATAAATTTATAATTATAAATTCCAGACATAATACACACTACAGAAATATTGCAAAAATCAGATATTGCCAACTTCCAAATTAATCTATGGTTCTCCATGTTTCAAAATTGACTTTATTTCCCTCCTAAAGTTTATAAATAGTGTAATTCTGGTTTTGTAATCATGTTATAAGAAGTTGTATTATTTTTTTTTTCATTTTTTTTTATTAATTTATTTTGCAATACAATTCAGTTCTACATATCAGCCACGGATTCCCTTGTTCTCCCCCCTCCCGTCCCCCTCACCTTCCCCCCAACCCCCCCCCCCCATTCCCATCTCCTCCAGGGCAAAGCCTTCCCCACAGACTGAGGTCAACCTGGTAGACTCAGTCCAGGTAGGTCTAGTCCCCTCCTCCCAGGCCGAGCCAAACAATCCTGCATAGGCCCCAGGTTTCAAACAGCCAACTCATGCAATGAGCACAAGATCTGGTCCCACTGCCTGGATGCCTCCCAAACAGATCAAGCCAATCGACTATCTCACCCATTCAGAGGGCCTGATCCAGTGGGGACCCCTCAGCCATTGGTTCATAGTTCATGTGTTTCCATTAATTTGGCTATTTGTCCCTGTGCTTTATCCAACCTTGGTCTCAACAATTCTCGCTCATATAAACCCTCCTCATTCTCGCTAATTGGACTCCCAGAGATCCACCCGGGGCCTAGTCATGGATCTCTGCATCCAGATCCCTCAGTAGTTAGATGAGGTTTCTAGCACAACAATTAGGGTGTTTGGCCATCCCATCACCAGAGTAGGTCAGTTCGGGCTGTCTCTCGACCACTGCCAGCAGTCTAAAGAACGATTTTTAAAGAAAACAGCTACCTGCCACCTACATTTAGTATAGATCCCAGGCCAAAAAAAAATGTCTAATATTTTCAGGTCAATATCATAAAAAAATCTACTTTTCTCTCAGTATTGCAAGCTCCTTATTCATGTTCTGATAAATATGGTCATATGTGTTTCTTCCTCAGAAAATGCAAGTTTTTACACCAGAATTCTTTGAAGAACATGAGCAAGTTGGGCAAAATGTACATGAATAAATACTCTTATGGTGAAGAGACCTTCTCTGTCTCTCTCTCTCTCTCTCTGTCTCTCTGTCTCTCTGTCTCTCTGTCTCTGTCTCTCTCTCTCTCTCTCTCTCTCTCTCTCTCTCTCTCTCACTCTCGCTCTTTTTTTTGAGACAGGGTTTGTTTTTTTTTTCTCTCTCTCTCTTCTCTTTTTTTTTTTTTTGGTTTTTCGAGACAGGGTTTCTCTGTGTAGCTTTGCGCCTTTCCTGGAACTCACTTGGTAGTCCAGGCTGGCCTCGGCCGGGCGGTGGTGGCGCACACCTTTAATCCCAGCGCTCGGGAGGCAGAGCCAGGCGGATCTCTCTTCTCTTTTTTTTCCCCCCGAGACAAGGTTTCTCTGTGTAACAGTCCTGGCTGCCCTAGAACTCAGTTTATAGACCAGGCTGGCCTCAAACTCACTAAGACCTGCATACCTCTGCCTCCCAAATGCTGGGATTAAAGGCGTGCACCGCCACCGCCTGGCTCTGTCTCTCTAAAGTAACAAAAAGGTCAATAAGATGGCTCCTCGGTTCAGCAGGCAAAAGTGCCTGCCACCAAGCCTGAGGATCTGATTTCCATGCCTGGGACCCACACGGTGAGAACCAACTTCCACTTGTCCTCTGACCTCCACACAAGCATCGCAGTAGGCCCCTGTGAGTGAGTGCACACATGTGCGCACACACACCAAATACATATTTTGTCTTTATTTAAGGAGGACAGATCCCAAGGAATGACATCCGAAGCTGTCCTCTGTCCTCCACATCCACCTGCACACCAGTGAACTGGTGTATACATGAGCATGTACACATACAAGCACACACAGAGAAAGAACTTTGACTGCCTTCAGTATATTTTCATAATCTATCACTCATAGGAAGCTCAGTCATAAATATTCTTATACAAAATGCCGGAAAAACTCCTACCTTCCATTACATATGTGTGAAAGTTATAAATCTATTAAAGCCGTTCAACTTCTAATGCACATTTATTTCTTGAAGTCACTAGATCGCATAATTACGGTGAAGACAACTTGAGAAGCACTTACTGGTTTAGCCGGACATCAAGAATGAACGAAGTTCCAAAGGCATCCACCTGGAAGCTTGCCTTGTCCACATGAGTCAGCTGCAATATCAAAAAGGTAAAACATATTTATAGTCGCTGTGGTGATTCTTTCGTACCTGAGAATTTCTTGCAGTCACTCTGAAAGGCTCAGAGTATCACAAACGAGAAAGCAATTCAACAGGAGGATAAATGACAGTGTAATAAAGCAAAATTGTGTGCCCTCCTGGAAGCCAAGCCGTCACCAATCCAAAGGTAATCACCATCCAGCCAAGGGGACAAAGGGCCTACTGTCCTGCTTTGTCTCGAGCCTGAAACAATGTCTCTCCAACTCCACTTCAGTAGACTGGTTCCCCAGTCTCCGAGCAGCTCTTTTAAAGTTAAGCTTTGTACCTTCCAAAAGGAAACTGTACTTCATTCAAGAGTAAATTAATACAGCGAATACCATCTATTTACAAGGAAGACATTTAAACTACAATTAAAACTCCTTTTTCATCAAACCTTTAATATATACTTTTAAAATAGCATGACAGATGTAATTTGTGAAACCTAATTTCAGAGAAGCTGCCACATATTTCTAAGCACAAACTTAAGCCTTTGTATGTACTAAGAATATCATCCCCCAAATGTTTCTGTGACAAAAACATTCACTGTTTACTGTGCCATCCTATGAACTCTGACAGACAATCAATGAGACTAAACTGGAAAGAAATAAAGCAGCCTATTCCATTTCACTCCCCAATACCAATAGTGGCTATCTCTAAACAACAGACTATGAATTCCCTGGGTTTTATTGTTTTTGTTCTGTTTATATGTTTGTGTATTACTCTTGAGTTTTTTTTCATATGTACCTAATTTCTAAAGTAAGCATGTATAATTGCTATTATAAGGAGAAACAATGCGCATTATTTTAGAGCTATCCTCACCTCAGCCTCCTTGTGTAGTAAATGAGGTTGACAGTGCTGCTGGTCCCTGAGAAGCAGCATCATGGGAAGGGACCTCAGAGGGGCCGCAACCAGCCCTGGACTTCACATTCAGTACACTCAGGACTGGGTGAAAAGAGAGGGCCTGGCTAGCAATAACAAAGCTTTCTGGTGCTTTTCCCATTGAACAGTATTTGAAAGAATGTGGGCTGGAGACTCCTGCTCAGCAGTGGTTGTAACGTCAGGAGGGCAAAGTGCTCAGATACCCTTCAGCCTCTTCACTCGGGCAAATCTAACCACACTCACTCTGCTCGGCTGACTCCAACACCCACCAAGCCCTGGTTTCCTCTTTCTTTACCAGGGTCCTTGGCGTTGCCCCTTACTCTTAGTTCCACCGATACTACATACCACAGTGCCCTGATCTGTCAAAGACCCTTGCTGAAAACCCAGTGTAAGCCACACAGTCTCTACTCTACCAAAGACCCCCATCCAGTCCCCACATTTCAAGACGCTCCACAGCTGCCTCCCCAGTGCCCTGGCACAGTGCTCTGAACTCCCAAGCACCTCCCTACACCTTATCCATGCTGACGTCTTCCATCTACTCTTTTACTCAAAAGAACAACACTACCTATAACTTTTACTCACGACTTCTGCTGAGAGCTTTTCAAACCAGACCCTTGACCTGGGCAGTTTCCTGAAAACAGCCCGATCTGAATCTCAGGACTCAGGTCAGCAGCTCTTCTAGAACCTGCCACAGTGGCCCTAATACAAGACCACAGACAGGGTGGTTTACACAACAGAGATCTTTGTATTCACAGTTCTGGAGGGCAGATGTCCACGGACAAAGGTTGGCGGATTCGGTTTCTACAAGGCCTCTCTGTGGCCTCACCGTGTCTTCACACAGTCTGTGTGCACTCTCAGGCACTTCCCCTTCTGAGGTTATGAGTCCTCTTGGGTTAGGGACCCCCAGCCTGATAACCTCATTTGACCTTAGCCTCCTCTTAGCCCCATCTTCGTGTGCAATCACATGGGGGTGAGGGCTCCAACACATGAATTTCAGGAAGCACAATTCAGTCCACAGCACTGCTCTCCCATCAAGTCTCCATCTCCCTCTCCTCACTTCAGGTCAGAGTGATATCAGAGACTCGGCGCTGACCGCAGCAGGGACTCACTCAGTATTTCCTGAGTGGCTACTGCAGGCTGTTTTATTAATCACCTAGACACCTGAGTGAACAATGATACAACTACAAATTACCTGCTTACTGAAATGCGGGCTTCCCAACAGGCCTGCTCGCTCTTAATACCATGTCGATAGACAGTGTTCTTTCTGCCTAAAAGCTCTCCGGGTTTCCTGAAGTTCAGACCATGTTTTGGGAACAGCATCAGGAAAGCCCTACTTACCAGAATTGATGTCTCAATTAAAATGAACCTTTCCTTCTTCCATTCTTCCCAGGCCCCTGTGTGACTATAACAGCTTTTATCTCAGTCTCCCCTGAATTAGAAATGCTAACACCATAAATCTGTGGTGAACAGGCCACATCGGGATGATGGCTCAAACCAAGGTAATGCTACTATTATTTTTAGCAAAGTGTTTACTGCTTGCATTAATTCTTTATTTTTTGTTTTTGGGAGTTTTTTTTGGGGGGGGGTGTTTCAAGACAGGGTTTCTCTGTGTATCAGCCCTGGCTGTCCTGGAACTCTGTAGACCAGGCTGGCCTCGAACTCAGAGATCCACCTGACTCTGCCTCCCGAGTGCTGGGATTAAAGGCATGTGCCACCACCACCTGACTCTTTTTTCCTTTTTAATTAACATGTGATATTTGTATATCTGTATGAGGTATAATGTGATATTTCAAAACATTCACAAACTCTTATCAGGGTGATTAGCATTTCCACTTCCTTACCGTTTCTTAGTATCTGGAGCCTGAGCCCTTCTCCTCTCTTTTTTCATAAACTGTGTAACAGCTTACTGGGAACTATCATCGCCCTCCAGCGCAACAGACACCGGAGCTTATTACTCCATCAAATGTGTTTTGGTACCTGTTATCCACCCTCCCACTATCTCTTTTCACTCCTCTTCCTAGCCTCTAATAATTACTATTATTCCTCCTCCTCCTCTTCTAGACTAACATTTTAAACTGCCATATGTGAGAAACACAATATAAAGTACTTGACTTTCTGTCTGGCTTACCTCAGTTAACATAATGTCCTCTAGTTCCATTCATTTTGCACAGAACAATTCAGTGGTTTTTACATAATTTTTTTCCTACAGTTCCTTTTTACTTCTGTTTTTTTTTTTTTTTAATTTTACAGGCCTCAGTGGGGTTCCAAGGAGACACTTAAATTCAAAGAAAATCCAAGGAAAGCTTATTTTAACTAAGGTTCAATTTTTTAAGTGTGTTTTACTTAATACAGTTCTAATGTAGGATGGTTTTCATAGACTATATTCAGAATGATCCATTGAACACACTTCCCCCTAAGTCCTGGGGCAGAGTAGGACCGACCACATTTCTACTCTACCTGCCTACGAGAAGAAGACAGAAAGTGAATTATTAATTAGATTGAAAATAAGTTTGGAAAATAAATCCACTCTTTTAAGAGTTAATAAAATTAGGCAATGTGGTCGAAATTACCAGAATGGATGGGGGTCCTAAGGTGGTCTTAGAAGACCCTTCTGAGGTAGTGACTCAGTGAGGTACCAGCAATGTCTAGAAGGCATTTAGAAGAACACCAGGCCTGCACAAGTCCACATTCTTGTCCCAAGGCTGTGAACACATTGCCTTAGACAGAAAGAGGGATCCTGCAAAGCAATGATTAAGGTGAAGACTTAATGGGGAGATTATCCTGGATCACATGTCTGCTAACATCTGTCTTTAAAAGAGGGGGCAAGAAGGCCACAGAGAAGCCGTGGGGATGGAAGAAGAGAGCAGAGTCATCTGAGGTTGGCAGGATGACCAGGGAATACAAGCAGCCTCCCAAAGGCTAAGCCAACAAGATAACAGTGGTTGAAGGTACTTGCTGCCAAGCTTGATGACCTGAGTCTAATCCCTGGGACCTATGTGGCAGAAGGAGAAGTCAAGTTGTCCTCTGACCTCTGTGTACACTTAAAATGTTTTGGAAGAAAGGCCTCCTGAAGGAACACAGTACAGACAATTCTTTCCAATTAGCTTTATAAGATCCCCCAGAACTATAAGACTATATTTTTTTAATTGTTTTAAGACATTAAGTTTTGAGTAATGTGTGATAACCTCAATAGGGAACTGAGACAGAGTTCCTGGCACTGCTTTCGAGCAGTTAGAAAAACAGCTCCAATAAGCTCATTGAACCAGTCTTAGGTGTCATTTCCTCCACAGCTGGGTTAAAATCCAGGCATGCAGAGCAGTAGGACCGACACTTGTGACATCCCAAAAATTAAATTGTTCATGCAGGTCTTCAGGAATTATTAGTCCGTTTTGTGTTGCTATAACAAAACACATGACACTGGGCAATGGATAAAAATATAGGATTATGTTGTTCACAATTCTGATGGGTGAAAAGCCCAAACAGCCTGACACCTGAGTCCTCAAGAGGCTGAGCTGTAACACGTGGTGAAGAGGCAGAAAAGGAGCCTACAACATGCAGAAGGGGCCAAAGGTATAGGATGGCCTCATTTTATGAAAACCCCACCTCTGTGGGTCAGGTATGATGGCATACTCGTTTAAACCCAAACTCTTGGGACTAGGACACAAAGCCAGGTAGATTTCTGAGTTTGGGGCCAGCCTGGGCTACACAGCAAGTTCCGGGCCAGCCAGAGGTACATAGTGAGATCCTGTCTAAAACAAAACACTCTCATAAGAACTAACTCAACCAGAGGAAGCCTACCTGAATCTGGCCGCTGCCACCAGGCCCTACATTTCACAGGTCTCACCACCTCAGCACCGCCAGCGTGGGGGCCATACTTCCACTCACGAACCTTTGAGAAACACAGCCAAACCTCGCGCAGCCACAACACAAGCAAAGCCAACTTGCAGTAAGTCAAGTGCAAGGATAATTTCATGGCATTCTGTACGATGTTCTAGCATCCGGGAGTCGACTTCACATGTCTGGTAAACAAGCAGTCCAGAGAGAAGAAACAGGCACTTCCTTAGGTTCTGGACTCAA